CTTAGAAATTATCTTCAAGATGACATACTACAAAGTATGATTACTGTTGGAATAAAGTTAATCAAATAGCAATTCAAATCACAGATTTCCTTTTTTCACAACCTTAAACATTAAGTTAAAGTAATTCTGCCTTATTTGATCATTTCTTGTATAAGTTTACAGAAAATATACACACAAATAAGAAAAGTGTAAGCTTGTATTATTTTTAACATTGATATATCAGAAAACAATTATGATTTTAGAAAACCAAAATTATTAAACTAATCTCATTTGGCAATGGTTTGTCTGTATTATGTTCCTATGAATTATTAAATCTCTCTGAGTTGTTTACATAAAAATACGTTTTTACACATATAAGTTATTAAAGTCAAATTTTCTTATCTTCTATACATTTCAGAAACACTTTATCTGTCTAAAACAACCAGAAAAATTTTCCTTGGAAGGCTTTTCAATACCAACTGGCAGTTTGATATAATTACCTATTCATACTACCAATTCAAAGGTCTATCTAAAGTATACACCCATGAACATGTGGACAAAAGCAAGAGCTTCAATTCTAAGTTTTAACCAAGAAGCAAGAATAACTAAAGAAACACAGTATCATATCAGTCCAACAAAAGCTGATCTTCTTTCCTGTGGAAAGATATTTTGTTGCTTGGAACTACAAATAAGCAATATTATAAGGAGACATGCCTATGCATGCTTAAAGCAGCATAATTCATAATAAGTGACTATTGGAAGTGGTTTATGTCTGTCAGCAGATGAAAGGCTAAAGAAGTGTGTTATTTTTACACACTAGAGTACTACTGTACCATAAAGAAGAATAAACTTGAGTCATTTGTAGGAAAATTGGAATCACCTCGAGACCATAATGTTAAGTGACATAAATCAGACACACAGTCTTAAATATCTCATGGTTTCTCTTATATGGAAAACCCAAAATGTAAAGAAAGATTAAAATAAAAGATAGATAGTAGAAAAGAGAGTGATACATCTTTTGCAAAAGGGATGGGGACCCAGAGGTACAGGGAGAGATGAGGGAAGGAGGGGAAGGGGTTGAAAAATGCAAAACAAAAAAAAAAAAATTGGGAAAAAAATAACATTCTGAGCTGGGCATGGTGGCACACGCCAGTAATCCCAGCACTCAGGAGACTGAGGTGGGAGGATCATTGCAAGTTCAAGACCAGCCTGGGCTACTTAAGCCCAGCCTGGGCTACTTAAGCCCAGCCTGGGCTACTTAAGCCCAGCCTGGGCTACTTAAGCCCAGCCTGAACTGCATAGCGAGACCCTGTCTCAAAAAAAAAAAGAAAGAAGTTCTGTATTTTTTTCTCATCTGACAGAGACTTAAAATCACTAAATGGCCATACTATGATATGTAACTCTGAATCAAATAAACCAACACATCAGAGTCCCCAATCTCTCATGCAATGGAGAGTAGCTAGATATAGGTAAACACTTTCATACAGATATCACAAAATAATCAATCTAAAAATCAAATTCCTAAGCATTGCTACCAGCAATGGGAAATAACTTATCAGCCAATAATGAAACAAGAACAAAAATGAAACACAACATTAGTAGAGAGAAAAATTAAAATTAGAATAAAATTTAAATTAGTCATTAAAATTCTACTGACTGTGAAATCATCTCTAGAGGTTAAAACTGTGCCTTGGCCTAAACTACCCCCAAGATGCCCTCCTCTGATTCAGAAGTTCACCTGGGTCTGCTAAGTACTGGGAACCTAGGCCAATGGGTATGCTGGTGGAAGATATCTGAAATTGTCAAAAGACAATTTTCAAGAAAAGATAAAATCATGACTCTCTTACAGATATAAAAATGAAAATGTGTTAAATATTTGATGTATCTTATATGAGAGAATCAGGCAGATGCTATGACTTGTTCAAAGAAAAAGTCAAAGGAAATATAAATTTATGCTGAATCACAAAGGGATGCGAAACTGTAGTGGGGGAAAACTCACTGAAGATTGTATTGGAGGAGACTGTGAATTTATGTATTGCCTACCATTTACAGAGGTACAAAACAGCTAAAAATTAGTGAACATGGTGAGAGTCAGAGAGCCTAGAAGGCTGCGCTACAGACAATGTTTAATTTTGCCCTGAAGTACAAGTCCAAATATATTATTTTATGTAATCTTCTAGGCAATTAGTGTGGTATGAAGACCAGCCATTATAATCCTCATTTTATAGAAAGTAAAACAGGATAAAGTAAAAGCTCATAGGTATCAGGATAACAATTTAACTCATATTTTCTGCCATAATGTTCAACAATTTTTGTTCTTTTGTAGTAGATATAAATTTATATAAGGCATACTAAACATTGTGTAGCATCTTGAAAAGTTACAATTCTGAGCCAGGCATGGTGGCACACACGTGTACTCCTAGAACACTGGGAGGTTGAGGTAGAAGGATGGAAATTTAAACCCAGCCTGGGAGCTTATCAATTTAGTGAGAATCTGCCTCAAAATAAAATAAAAAAGGCTGATGATAAATCTTAGTGTGAGGATCTTGGGTTATTAAATCCCTAGTAAAGGAAAAATAAAGAAAACAAAAGCAAAAGAAACAACTCTAAACTGAACTGATGAACTTTGAAAATTTAAATACAACCTTGCCATGTAAAATATATTATAAATGAGCATTAGAGGGTACAAGAAATGGAAAATAAGATAATATGATTATTTAAATCCAAACCCAGAATTATAGTTCAGAAGGAAAAGTATTCAATTTTTAAAAATAAATTTACTTTCCTAGAAGAAGTAGAAAACCAACAGAATCCGTCCATATGTACACGATCTTATTTTGCTTTAAACATGGCGTAATTTTTAGTTTTGATAGTGACATATCACAGGTTAAATATAAAGATGTTTGACTGAGAATATCCAGAAGAAATGTGAGAGCCCTTGCTGCATCCTCACTTATTTGATGGGAAGAACAGCGATTTCCTGTATTGGACTGAAATATCTTGTATTTGACCTTAAGTCAGCTCATCCTGTGTGTTAGGTCAAACAATAATAGGGGTTGCTTGACCGGGCGTGATTAAAACTAGCATCATCCAGGAAGCAGTAGTTTTGAGAAACAAATAACAATCTGGAGAAAGACTCTAAAATGGAGATTGTGCTAGATGGTAAGGGAAACTTGAATTGTATGTAAGGTGACCTCTCTTTGTGTCCTTCCTCTAAAAATGAAACCTGCATTTTTGTGCTTTATAAACAAGACTGTTTGCCATGATTCTTTAGATTTCTGTATTCAGGTGTATCATCAAAAAGATGGAAAACAAAAGAAGTAAACTGAGAAGGGATTGCAAATTTTACTTTTCAAATGGCTTTCCTAAAGGTCACTGTATATTAGCTGTAATGACAGTGAGAAAGTGTTCCAGTAAAATTAAAACAAACACTCAGGAAGGCTGATGGAAAAGAATGATAAGTTCGAGCCCAACTTTGACAACTTAGAAATGCAACAAGATCCTGTCTCAAAATAAGAACTGAAATAAGGTAGAGAATGTAGCTCCATGCAATGCAAAGTCCCTGCCATCAATCCCTAGCAGGAGCTGGGGATATCTAAGCCCAATGGATCTTCCAAGGAAAAGCTGCTTTTCTTTCACATTTCTTTCCTTACAATTCCTTTTCTTCCATCTTCTGCAAACACTCTTCTTGTGGTGAAAATATACTTACCAGTAGCTGCTGGAGTTTTCCTGTTTCCTGTTCCGAGAAGGTTCTGAAGTTCACTCTGGGGCAGCTTCAGTCATGAACATTCCTTCACATCCCTCCGGTGGCCATTGTGTTAGAGTGCCCTTATACTGAAAGTCAGAAAGGGGGACTATGGAGTTCATTGTTGAGCAAATCCTATCTAGTACAAGGAAGAGATCTAGATGACTTTCCACACCACCTGGCATCCTATTTCCTGGATAGAGAAGCACTACACATTGGAAAGATTAGAACCAACCACTGTCCTTCTAATTTGATGTTGGAGAGGAACAGGGAGGAGGATCACTTTGTCTGCATCAGAAGTCATCAGTTTCAGCCCTGAGGCTCTTACTTATAAGTCTATGTAGAACCAGAGCTGGGGATTTAGCTCAGTGGCACAGAGCCTGCCTGGCAAGCCACAAGGTTGTCAGTTTGATTTCTGGTACTGGAAAAAAAAAAAAAAAGTCTATGTGTAACAGTGTAGTTTTTCTGTCTACCCACCTACTAAACAGAGGTAATATTTCCTTATCTTGAGAAGGGAAAAACCATTTGAAAAGTTTGGTGTACAAAATCTATTTCCGTACAAGTTTTTTACTCTGATTAAGATTTGATTGCTTTCTTCCTTCATCTTTTTCTTGGCAATGTAAATGAAGGCTGTTATATTTACCAAATAAAATGATAATACTTTGTCAAGTGTACCTGCCTACCTGTTTTTTAAAACATGCCAGAAAACATCTGAATGGCTTGCAATAGCCCAGCCAGCTAATTTGGAGAATCTCTGGCTTTTTAGCTTCTCCCAGTAGTGAAGTCCTGATTTCAAAATTGTCCGAGACACTCAACAGAACTGAAGCGTGGGCTCAAGCTTTGCAGGTTGGGGTTGTGCATTTGGACAAATGTAAAGCCTTTTTTTTCTCTTTTTTTTTTTTACTAGAAAACATTTAGTGATTAGTTGACATTCTTTTTAATTGTCTTAAATTGCAGAATTAGATACATTTACAGGTTGCTTTAAAGCAACTCTCTGTTTGCTTTTGCATTATCTCTGAATGTTCTAATGATACCTAAAATGAATCATCAGAATCAGCAGAGGAGTCTGATTGCCAAGACGCAGCCTGAGAGCTGACCACTCGCTGACCCAGCAGTTGTGCAATGAGGACTTGCTGGGGAAAGAACAGTGATTCTGTCCTTTTCAAAGTAAATTTCTTCGCTGTGGGGGAGGAGTGAACTGCAGTGCATCCAGTGGAAACTACGCTGACTGTGGCTTATTTACAAGCACCGAACCTCCTTAAGCTGGCGTGGGTGACTCACACTGTTAAGGAGAGAACATGGTGTCACATACTGAAAATGCATCAGGGAAAATGTTGGTTAAATATGAGGAACAGCTCTGCAAAGCTAAGCTGTGATAGGTCAGAAAAGGAGTTGCCAAGGCAAGCAGGAAAGACAGTGAGAGGAGAGCGGACGAATGGAGAGAAGCCTCTGACAAACATCTCGGCTGCCTGATGCTTAATCTGATCCTCCAGGACACCCTGCCTCTGAGGTGACTCATTCTTACAGATTCTTGGGGATAGCCAATGTCAGAGAGCGCAACTTCTCCAACAAGAGGGCAGCAAGACAAAAATATCAATTTCAAAGAAATACCTTAGCATACTTGTTGAGGTATAAAAGATGAAGCATTCTATCATTTCAGCCCAGAATGTACAAATTACTGGGAGGTTTTGCTTTTGAGAAATAACTAGCCAATAACAGGGTCAGAAGGATGATGTGGATGGCTATAGCTAAACTGCTTCTTTAATCTGCTTATCATTCCTTTACAATTAGTCACTGGAACAGGAAAATTTAGAACTGGGTAGAACTTTTTAAGCCTATTTCACATTTTTCTAGACAGGGAAACTTAGGGGTGGAAGAAAAGAAATGGTGTTTTAGCCTGTTTTCTATTGTAACAACAAAATACTTGATTATGAGAAGTACTGAAAAAGAAAATAGGTTTATTTGGGCTTATTGTCTTGGTAGTCTGAATTTGCTGCACTGGTATCAATATGTCTCACGAAGACCTCCTGGCCACATCACAGCGTAAAGTTCGGAAGCGTAGGCTGATCTAATTATTAAATGTATAAGCAGTATATGTTAATGCTATTCCTTGAGTAAGCCCTGCTCCCCAAGGGCTCTCATGCTGGTAACTTGGGCCTGGCTGTGGTGTTCTTGAGGTGGTGGGACTGTAAAAAGACGCTGCTAGTGGCAGCTAACCAGGTCATAGGAAATCCACTCTCATGAAAGGATTAAGGCTGCTGCCTGAGACTAGGTCATGACTGGCAGGAGTGAGTTCGCTCCTGTGAGAACAGATTATTAATAAAAAGAATGAATCAGCAGCACCCTGTCTTTTCTCTTGCTCACTTCCTGTCTCAACATGTGATTCCTGTCTCCCTCTTCTGATGCACCACTGTCGTGGTAATGACCTGTGCTGTGAGACCCTCACCGAAACTAAGCAGATACCAGAACCACATCGCTAAACTTGTAGCAATGTGAGCTAAATAAACCTTTTCTTTACAAAGCATCTAGTGTGAGATCTTTTGTTACAGCAACACAAAACAAGGACCATACATAGTTATTAGTTGAAGATTTCTGTGGTATCCAGTGCAGATACAGTAATGGTTAAAAAATAGTTTCAGAATTCCATCCATGTGATTCACTTTCAGGATTATATGTACTTTCACCCAATTTAAGGTTAAAGAAATTATAGATAGTCATAAACTTTGTCATTTATTTTCTGTTTTAAGTTGCCCATGTCATTTAACAGGCAAATGAATTTTTCTCTTTAATCAGTACAATGGAAAATAAAGTTTTCCCACTGATCTTTTGGTAAAACTGGAATAAAACTCACAGCTGTTACTCCAGCTTTTACTTTTATCCTGGTATTGCTGACATCTTCCTCGCTTAGTGCTAAATTTCCTCACTGGCTGCATCACTCTTATTTGTGAATTTTGGCAGTTGATCATGAAAGAGGAAAATAAAATATGAAAATTCATAGTATTTTTCTACTGATCTCTGTACACATTAAATTCTGGGTATTTACTATGAAGCTGTCTGTTCTGGTTCCACAGTGTGGTTCTCATATTATTGTAAAGAGAAATTAGAAGTGCCAGGGTCCATGGAAAATCTTCTACCCAGTTGTCAAGTACTGGTCTTTAAAAAGCTTACCATGATATGAACCTTCACCAAGATAGAGAGGGAGACAGAGAGAGACAGAGAGAGGGAGCAATGGAACCACCACTAAAGAATGTTTCTCATTTAAATGAATCAATGAATCTAAGCTGATTTATTACAGTTATAATCAAGCATTGAATGACCAATAAGCTTTGCTTCTCTATTTATAATAAGTATGGACTACTAAAATAGATAAGCTTTAAGACAGGAAATAAACCTAACCCTTTGAAGTTCATGATTATACATAAAATGTCTGCCCTGCCGTCATTCGGCAACGCTACTGAAGGACGAATTCTGTTGAGCTTGTTGGTTCTGCAGGTATTTTGGTCACCTTAAGGATCAGAACTGGGGGCTAGGGATTTAGCTCATTGGCACAGTGTCTACCTGGCAAGCGCAAGGTTGTGAGTTCGATTCCTGGTACAGGAAAAAAAAAAGAGCAGAACTGTCTATGTTTACGTTTTTTATACTGGAAATGCAGACAGCCCCAATATTAGTGATCTCTGATTCCCTTCCAAGTGTCACTTCTGTAGTTGGAACAGAGTCATTATACTAGTATCAAACAACTCATCTAGATTTATATCATAAATAGAGATGTCATCCATAACTGTGGATGGATAAATTATAAAGTCAGCCAAAGTATTTAATGTTAAGGAATTAAGTCAACAACATATTTGGAAGAAAAACAGTTCTCTAACACCTTGCTTGAAGGAAACAATGATGAATGGTATATTTCTGTCTGTGTCTTCAAATAAAGTTTGGTGGGAAAGAAAAGGAGAAGCTTGTGCATGATAATGAAATCTAAATTGGGTATCAATTAATGAAAAATGTAATTGCAACACATATGTTAGATTATACCAAAGTCAAAAAAATACACTATTTTTTTCTCAGGACTATTGTAGTTCTTTGTACAGTCAATATTAAGAGCTTTGTGCAAATTTATTTGGCAAATTAATTAGGAGAGAAGAGATTGTGTCACTTTTTAACTAAAGGTTTAAGAGATTCATACGCTGCTACCCTTTTGCTATTTCTCTTCACCAAAATACTAGCGACATTCCAGGGTGACGACTGGTCCTAAAACCTGAATCCAGCCATGAAGACTTTATCAGGCATAGTTATGTAACAGGAACGTGAGTCAAATCTTTGTTGTACAAGAACTCAGCATTTAAGCTTTTGTTTTGTAGTAAAATTGCCTCTACCAGAGGAAGAGTGCACTGTAGCTGGGGTTTTGGTTGGTTGGTTGTTTTTTAATTTGTGTGTGTGTGTGCATGTGTGTGTGTGTGTATCCGAGGGTAGAATAAGAGGACTGATAGATATATTTTTTCAGGAAACAGTGTTAAGGGCATTTAGTTGTACAGTCTCCAAAAATAGGCTTCAGGCTAGTCTGTGGAAGGAGATAAAACGTGACATTAAAAAAGAAGCAGAATTTTTTATTTTTCAGTTGAAGATGAAAATAGAGGAGGTGAGAGGGCATGGAACCCAAACTAAGAAAAGAGAAAAGAGAAAATATGTCTTAAGAAATTAATAGGGTCACAGCACAATGGCTGATGACCAAAAACTAAGGAGGGCATAGACCCATGACAGAATTCCTGTGCTGAGTAATGAATGACACATTTCTTGGGCAATAACACCTGATACTGAATGGAAAGTTATTTCTACTCCAAGATGTAATTACAGCCATTAAGAACAATACCTTTGTAAACATCTATCTTGCATGTCACCCGGCTATTGATTCTTGGGATAAATTAGGGTGAAGATATGACAACCACCGTGCAGTGGCAGACAGTGCAGAAAGTAAAATGGAGAAGGCAGAGAAATCCCGGGCAAATGCTGACAATACCATGAAAGCTTAAACACATGTAGCTTCAGCAATGTAGGGGCTGAAGGGATTTCTGCTCAAACTGCCTGAGCATTAAATTGCTTTTGCACATGACAATAGGACTGTTTCACGGAAACAGTTACATACAAACTTTTGAGGAAACTGACAAAGTCATGTCCTGAAGACTCAAGCTGGCCAACAGTGTTAAGATTTAGACTCTACTGACATCAACAAGGGTAGTCCAAACATACAATAATACCTCAGCTCATGAACACTTCTATTCGCAAACAGACGTTTTTTGGCAAAAATTTGCTTCAGTTCGTGAACTCCACAAAGGGTGACAAACATGAACGTGTCCATCTTTCTTGCATGTACACAAACATGAAGTGAATTAAGTTTGTAAACTGAGGTACCGCTGTACTGTATAAGGAAATGGTCTTATACTGGCAAGATGGAACCAGGCTGCTAGGGATAAAGACTATCATCATAAATACTAGCATATTATTTATATTTTTTAAATGGAATAGATAGATAATTGAGTATTGTTTTTTTAATGACAGAAAATAAAATCCTTTAAAAGAGTAAGTGCCTGAAGTAATAGTTAGTAAATATTAGAGAGGAGAATTTGATGGAAGCCTTCTGACTTAATCATATTTATTTCTGTCAGAGATTTTCTAGGTGGATGAGCAAGAAATCAGACTAATCACTTCAAGTTTCACATCTACCTGGGACTACAGACCTGTGTAGGGAAGAAACCTGCCCTTCTTTAACCTCACCCTAATTCATCCGTGAGCCTCTGCTGTGAGGAACCATTGCTACTGGGACAGTGACGGTGATGATTCCTTCTTCAGCCTTTCTTCATGGGATAAAAAACAAAATCAAAATATCTGAAGCCCATGAAAGCACAAAGGCAAAACATTCTCACTTTAAAAGTTATGGTAATTACATTCATTTTCATTTTAAATTTACTAACACCAGTTTTTTTTTTTTTGTTTTTTGTTTTTTTACTTATTTATTTGCAGTACTAAGAATTAACTTGGGACCTTTCACCTGAGCTACCTTTCCTGAAGCCCATTTTTATTTATTTGTTTTTTATTTCTAAGCAAGGTTTTGCGAAGTCATTAAGTTGCCCAGGCTGGGCTTGAACTTGTGATCCTCCTATCTCAGCCTTGCAGAGCATTATAACTACAGACATATCCTCCTGCACCCAACTTCTAACATTTAAGATCACAAATTTAGATAGAGAAAGTCATATAGATTTATATATGTATTTATACACATAAGTAGGAACACAATATTTGTACATATGTTATATATACTTTATGTATGTATGTATTACGTAGTGCTCCCTGGGGAAGCACAAAATACAAATACATGAAAAGAGTTATTATAAATGACTAGCTTATAGAGTTATATAAGCTGAAAAGTTGTACAGTCTGTTATCTACAAGCTAGAGAAGAAAATCCAGCAATTTAGTAGTTCAAATGCTTAAGAGCCTGAGAGGCAGTGGTAAATTTTCCGGTCCAGCTCTGAAGGTCTGAGAACTAGTAGCCTTGAGCTTGTACAAAATAAATGTTTAGTTTAATCAGTAGTAGTTCATTCAATTATTCGCTACTGTCTGTATGTGTGTGTTTGTGTGTGTGTGTGTGTGTGTGTAGTGTGTGACTGGCAAATAAACTCAGGATGTCATACATGCTTGGCAATTGCTCTACCAGAGATACATCCCCAGTCCTGTTTTTGTTTTGTTTTGATGTTTTTAATTTATTTGAGACAGGGTCTTGCTAAATTGCCATGCTGCTTTCAACTTGCAAACTTCTTGAATAGCTGGTATTACGGAGGTGCAATGCCACAATCAACTCTTCCTCCACCTTTCTGTTCATTTAGGCTTCCAAAAGTTGAGATGATGCCCACTCACACTGGGTAGGCAGGCCCATCTGCTTTATTTAGTCCACCAATTAAATGGTACTCTCGGGGCTGGGGATTTAGCTCAGTGGCACAGCACCTGCTTGGCAAGCACAAGGTCACGAGTTCGATTCCCAGTACCAGATGAAAAACAAACAAAAATAAATAAATAAATAAATAAATGGTACTCTCCTAGAAAACCTGGTGTTTAATCAGATATCTGAGCATTCCCTATCCCAGTCAAGTAGACAAATAAGCTTAATCAATATAAGTATATTCCTTTACAACTCAGTACTCATAAATATCTCCTTAAGCCATAGTTAATGTCTAATGAAGACAAAAACAAGGCCATAATTCTGCCTAAACAGAAACAACTATCTTTGTACAAAATAAAATTTGCAGACTTCTTCGCCAGAAGAGGTGGAAACCTAAGTGATATTACTCTTCTCCTTGGTATCTTGTAACTTGTAGTATGATGCAAATTAATAATATTTCAACATTATGATTCAAAGTCAATATATCTTAAGTGGAATGACAAAGAAATAAGAAAGGAAAGGTGAGTTTAGATATATAGTCATCCCTTGTTATGCTCAGGGACTGGCTCCAGGACTTCCAGAGATAGCAAAATCTGTGAATGCTTAAGTTACTTATATAAAGTGAAAAGTAATTGCATATAACCTGAACATAGTCTCCTGTGTACTTTCAATCATCTCTAGATTACTTATACCTAGTATAATGTAAATATCATACAAATAGTTGTTACACTATATTTTTAAGTACTGATAACAAGGAAAATGTCTTTGTATGTTCAATGCAGATGCAGTATAGTTTTGTCCATATTTTTGGTCCATAGGTGGTTCAGTTCACAGATGAAGAAAGCATGAATATAAAGCCTAATCATGTGTATGTGTGTGTGTAGTGTACATACGCATTTGCATAGAGAGAGAAGAGGAGAGAAGAGAGGGAAAGACAGACAGACACAGACAGAGATTTATAATAAGTCACTCATGGCTGGTTTACTGATTTCCTAGGAGTTCCAAAAAAATATAAATAACAAAGTATAAATGAACTATAACTGTATATTCTAGGCTTTCACACACGTAATTGTGTATGAGTTTATAACTACTGACCCAGTTGTTTGTTTTCAGGAGATTTAAATTTAAAGGAAGTGAATGTGAAACAAGGAATCCCTAACTCTGATGAAATTCTTTTCTGTGGGAGAGGAGTTAGAAATTTATTTCATTATAAAATATATTTCCAGGAAGTAGGTGAGCCAATTAAGAGTCATGAAGTGGCTGTGTTATATCATAAAAATTGTAGGAAAGAAATTTGTTAAAAATAAAATTTTATTGGGCATAAGTTATTTTGAGATATTTTCTTGATTCCTCCCAAGGAATTAAGCAAAGTCAAAAGTTTAAGAAATGCTTTTGGATACCTGTATTAAAATCTGAGTCGTTTTATAGTACAGCACCATTTATATGAGACAGAAAAAAGAGAAGCTCTTCAATCCTAGTACCTCAAGCTAATCACGGTTTATTTAATTCATGCTCAATTCTGGAAAGCCTTTCAGAATTCAGATGTCACAATTTTCAGCTATTAAAACAGGTGCTTTACTTTTTCTGTTACTACAACAAAATTTCAAAGGCTGTGTGTTCATAAAGAAAAATAAGTTTATCTCACAGTTTTGGAGGTAGAAACTCTAAGATCCTCAGGCCTCAGTAGTTCAGTTCTGGTGAGGACCACATGGCAAATGATATCACAATGTCAGGTAAATGTGGGAAAGCGTTCATAAAACGTAAGCATCAGTCTCACTTTTATCACAACATACTCTTGTGGGAAGCAACTGGAACCCCACAAGGACTATGCTAGTGTCTAGTCACTTTCCTTTGGTTCTCACCTCTCACATCACCAGACTGGGGAAGAAGAGTGCAACTCATGAGTTGAGGAACACATACAACCCGTTGCTAAACAATAGAAAGAGTCATTTTCAAAGTAGTAGTAATTTCCTTGCTATTGAAAATAAAATATTTTTAAAGTGCAGAAAAATAAAGGAATTCAATTATTTGAATTCCATATTATTTTACTACCAATAAAACTTCAAACTACAATCGGGATTGTATTGGTGAAGATTCTTATAATTCATTTTGTTTTGTTTTTTGAAACAGGGTCTTGCTACGTAGTGCAGGATGGCCTTGAACTCCCTATGCAGCACAGGTTGGGCTTGAACTCATATGATTCTCCTGCTTCAGCTTACCAAGAAAAGAAGGAAAGGAAAAGCAAAATGTAACAGATAAGGTTTTTCTGTATTTCTCAAATTCCAACATCAGTTTTATACACAAGATCTCCATGTAATAAATTAATGGTAAGAAAATAAACAAGGAAGCAGAGCAATTCCCTTTTGTCATGAATAATCTTACCTGAGAGAGTCAAATTGGTGTTTCCTATATTTTTTATATCTTTCTTTATCAGAAGTTTTAGTTCCATGAATATAGCTCCTGGCAGAAAGTACAAAGTTACGGAATACAGAATTGTATCCTGGAAGGTAGGAACCTCATATATAATGCAAAATTTCCTTTGAAAAATCTGTCGGTGCTTTTGCATGTGGCTGACATTCATTTTGTATTACTACTTAATATTTCATTGTGTAAATACACAATTTGTTTATTCATTTGGTTTTTCATAGACATTGTGGCTATTTACAGTTTGAAGCTATTAGAATCAAAGCTCTTGTGAGAATTTACTAACAGCTACTGCAGTGAATGTTCTTTATTTTGTTGTCATTAATGTCCATAAAAATTTTATAGCTTTTCATTTATAATGAAAGAAAAAATTGTTTTATTAGATTTATTGATGCATACCTGGTATGAGTGATAATATTGTGAATGGCACCTTTAATATATTTTTCATTACCTGTCATTTAATATAAAAGTTGTGTTTGCTTCTATACCAATATTTTATTCAGCAACCTTACTAAATTTATTTATTCTTATAAATATTTTCTACAGATATTCAGTATATTACATTCAGATTCATAATTATATAATCTGAATATAGTAAAAAATATCCCCCAAATTTATACCTTCATTTTTCTGTCTTATTATAACATTCCTGAAAGCTGCCGAGCAATTTTGAAAAGCTGTAGTAAAAGCATGGCTCTTTGTATTATTCCAAATATCAAAAGGAAAACATTTATCTTTCATCATTAAATATTTTGTTCTATGTTACATAATAATCTATAAATCTATGAAGAAAATTTACTTTAAAATTTTATATATTTAGTCTTGAAGAATTAAAAGAATTTTTCGGCAAAACTATTTTTCTTTTAATTGAGAAATAGAATGTTTCTTTATGATCTTAATATGATGAAGTACATGAAAGAATTTTCTTTTCTTTTTTTTTTAATTTAAAGATAAAAGGAGGGAAACATTAACAGACATACAACATTTTACAACATATCACAAGCACAATACAGACAATACAGAGTTACAAACAAAGTGGTAGGGAATTAACAATGGTGGTTGTATTACATATTGATATCTTCAAAGTGGCTTCTCATGAAAACAGATATAGACATGCAATACTGGTCAACCAAAGGCTCATTGACAGTTTCTTTCAGCATAGAAATAGAAGACAGAAGAACAACCATGTCATCTGTCCTGTATATACATGCATACAAAATTTCTCCTTCTTTCCCTTCTCTTTTCCACATCCCAGAAGCCCTTTACTCTTCAGTGGTTTCCTATCATTTCACAGTGTCTATCATACCTCCGAGTTTAAATTAACTCAAGTTTTACAGTAGTGACACAATGTGGTGCTTGCACATGTATGTTTAATTTATTTCACTTATGAGTATGGTCTCTAGTTGTGACCATTTAAATATAAAGGCCTCGAGTTTATCTTTCTTTACAGCTGAGTAATATTCCATTATATAAAAGTACCATAATTTTCTTATCCAATTCTCGGTGGATGGACATTTGGGTTGCTTCCACATTTTAGCAATTACAAATTGTGCTGCTATGAACATAGGTGCACATATATGACTGTGATATGATGTTTTTAGATCTTCTGGGAAAATACCCAGCAGGGGGATAGCTGGGTTGAATAGAACCTCAAGAATTTTATTTTCAATATAAACTAATCTTGTATTCATACAATTAATAAAAAATTAACATAATTTGTTATTTTTACATGTTACTGAGCTTTGATACAATTTTACTGATAATTTTGTTTTTTCCTTCTCTGGTTATATTTGTGAATTCTTCCTTTTTGTTCTTTCCTACTCAGATTTGGGTACAAAGGTTTTCCAGTAACAACAAATAACATGGTGGAATATTTTTCTAATTTCTGTTTTAAGTATTAATGCAATATTAGTATATTCCTACTTTGAGTGTGTATAAGTCTGTTTATGAATCCACCTTGGGCTCACAATATTTTTTAGAAATAGTATTTTTTCTTATAAATTCAAATTATTTTCTTGTTCCTATACATGTAAAGGTTTTAATATATTTTCTTTATTTAGTTTCTCTTGGTAAATTACATGTTTTCAGGTGTCCATTCAAGTCATTTATTTTCAAATAACTAGGTATGTACCTGTTTAACATTGAAGGTTCTATTGCAATATTCTCTTGCATTCCTATTTTTCTTTATGTGTGCATTTTGTCTCACTTTTCTGCTTTTGAGTATTCCGACCTTGTTTATCATTTTATCAGATTTGTTCAAATAACAGACTTGTGGCATTATTAAGCACCTCCATTGTATATTTATTTTTTTATAAAACTACATGAAAGGATAACCTAGGATGGCCTCTGCCTCCCAAGTAGCTGGGATTATAGGCATGTGCCAACTGAATGGCTTAAAACTAGATATTTTTAAGGCTATATTAATGAATGCCTATCTGAGTGCTGACCAACAAATTTTAGTTATTCTTAATTACTCAGTCTACAGTATTTTTAAAATTCTATTTCCTTAACGTATGAACTATATAGAAATGTTTTCTAATTTCCAAACATATGATGTTATACTATCCTATTTGCATAGTAGTCAGAAAAATGTTCAATATGATGTAAATCTCTTGAAATTTATTGTTTATTGTATAATGCAATATCTCCTTAAAATTCAGAATTGCTCTTTTCATATGTATAAAAGAAACTCTCCATGAGTTGGGGTGATTATTATATATTATGTACACTTTATCTGCTATTAATTTTTAATTATTATATCAGTTACTAAGATACATATTTCACAATTATTGAAAAGTTTTTGTTTTATTAAATGAGTTTGGTCTATAAATTCAAGTTATATTTTAATAACATATATTATTTATGCATTCTTATTAATTTAAAACTAATGCTACCATAAAATAATTATCCTTATAATTTATATGCTTATTTTCAAATGAAATCTATTGTGTCTCACAGGTAGTATTTGATTCTCAATTTTCCCTTATCATATAATTTCTATGTGTCTCTTCTAAATAACTCTTGCTTTTTGTATGCAGAAATGAAGAGGATTATACTTTATTTTAGTTATTGAATTTATTTCTTTTAATATAAGTTTAGATCCATTCTCTATCCTTTAATTTTTATCTGTTTTACCTATAATTTTGAACTCTTTATTTTATGGTAAATTATTTTAAAAATCCATACTTTATTCACCAGCTGTAAGATTTATGATTTATCCTTTTCCTATACTATCCTCTATACACACATGTGTTTTATGTCTTGCTATTTACTGGAATTATAATTCTATTTTTTAAAAATCTAAGGCTTCACACATGGTAGGTAAACCCTGTACCCCTGAACTACACTCCACCCTGTACAGTTTTATTTTTGAAAGTAGACTAAAATGTATTTTTGCTGTTTTAGATATTCAAGACCTATTTACACTGTCCATTTGTGTATTATTTTAATTGTCTTTTGTATTATTGATAAAATATTAAAAATTTTATGAAGGGTCACATTCTTGCTGCCTGTAATTGACATTTAGGAATCTTTTAATGTAGATCACTGGTGGATGATTCTCTCACCTTTTGTCGTTAAATGCCATGAATTTTGAATTGGTCTTTACAGATGTTTTCAAGTACATGAAACCAACACACTCTTGATTACTTTTGACATTTTGAAGATACCACCTCACCGTTTTGGCTGTCATTGTTGCACTAGCAAAGCCCCCAATTAGGCTATGTGCCACTCTATGAAGAAAATCCGTGTTTCCTCTGCTGCCTGACTTTGGTTTCCTTTTGACTTTCATTTTCAACAATTTATCTGTAATGTATCTCAGTATGAATTTCTATTTAATTTATCTTGCTTGGGGCGGAAACTGTGGAATGGTCTATTATCAGGTCTGAAGAATTTTCAGTCATTATCATTGTGCACATTACCTCTATGCAGTCATCTCTCCATTATTCTTCTTGGACTCGTTCTATTCCCTAAAATTATATTCTCTCTCTTGCATTTTATGTTTGGTTCCTCCCTGTGCTTTATTAGGAACAATATCTTTGTATCTATCTTCTGGTATATTAATTTTTACTTCTGCCCTGTCAATTTTACTGCTAAGCATTTCTGTTGCGTTTTTAATTTATTTTATTGTATTTATATACCTAAAGTCCTGTTTCATGCTTTTCAGTTCTGTATTCATATAGTTTCTCTTTCCATGCATATATTTTCAGCTTGCCTTTTATTTTTTCAAACGTAACAAACACAGTCATTTTATAATTTGTTTTTGGATATTGCCACTATTTAAAATATGAATATTCTCTTTCTGCTTTGTGCATTTTTACTCTTTGCTTTGTTGCCTTGCTGTATTTTGTTCTATTTTTATTCAGTAATTTAAATTTTAATTCATATATAAAAACATAATAATGTTCATACCATCAAATAATATGAGAAATATCAATTTATTCATAGATTGCATGTTTAAATCAGCTTAAATATTATCTACCTCCTGAAAACGTTATCATTTCTTTGTGGAGAGAACTTTCAAAATACTTTCTTATTCGACAAATGTCAGTACGTGATTGTTATCTATAGACACCTCACTGTCCAATAGCAGAGCAGAACGTCCTGTCCCTAATTAACTGTAGCTTAGTAAATGCTGCTTAACACTTTCCCTCTTGTCCCTCCCCCCTACTCCAATAGCTTCTGGGACCCATTCTACTCTCAATTTCCCACAGACCAACGTTTTTAGTCTCCAAGTATGAGTGA